CCCAGTTTGTCCAAAGTAGGAGTTGCTGCAGTTGTTGCACTTGATTCGGTTCGGAATACTCAGACAGAACCGAACAAACCAAGAAACAAGAAAAAACCTTGAATTCAGATAAACAAGGGTCACAAATTGGAACCTGGAGGAGTCAAGGACAGGGGTGACTTCAGCATTGGCCAGAGTACGAGAGCGCGAAGATCGGACCGCAAGGTCACGTTGTCATCAACCAACCAGAAGGCGGAATGACATAGCGACCAACGAAACCAACCAAAAGAACAACCAATCGTGATCGAAGGTCAGCTCTGGCTAACAGCACCCATGTTGACACACACGCAACATTAGCGAATGCACAACCACCGAACAATAACAACGAACTTATGGTATCATCTCGACTGCAATCGAACTGCACGTCTTGGTAAACAAACCAACGACCACAAAGTATTACGGTCGAAATGTGGACAGACAAACGGGAAGCTCACATCGCAGACGTTCACAGACAAACCTCGTAAGGATTCGATAGGTTTGGCCGTTAGTTCCCATCCAGAAGAAGACAAGGTCCGTTTTCCAATAGATTAGCTTCATCGCTTCCAAAGCATCAGTAGCTACACTGCGCTTGCCGGCAGCACTCGCGCCAAAGTTGGAGTTAAGCTTTATTCGGTTTACCGTTTCTGGGTTACGCTGGCATGAATCTAATCGTTCATTTCCGTTTGCCATTTCAATGAAGGCCACTGTCAGTTTGTGCTCCGATGTGTGCTCCGATGGTATTGGCTGAAGTAGTCGTGTAGCGTGGTCCAATATGGTTGATGTGACGTGTGTTTTTATTGCTATTCCTAGATCCAAGTTCATACATTCGATTCAAAAGGTAGTGGTTTAAAATACCCGAAACACGGCTTCGATAAAGGCTTCGAATGATCGTCCAAAGTATTCGGGGATCGGATTGAAGTATATGTATGATTTTGAGTAGTATGAAAATCTAAGGCGTCCAGCGTTGTTCTCTCCCTCTGCGACTAAGAAAGACTTCAGCTGTTTGCTGCTTCTCAGAGAGATGGTATACTGGTGTAACGGAGATGGGGAGGCATGGGGAGAGGCATGCGAGTAGTATGTTTTCTCGTAAATCCGATTCGCGTCTCTTGAAAAATGAGATCAATTATGGAATTCGTGGAGTCGCTTTGTAGCGTTTAATTTGTGGAGTCGTTCTGTAGCATTTGCTTGCAATTTGCAAGCAGGAATACGTGTTCAAGGAGAAGATGGATATTCAGTTTTGTAAACAAGATGCATATGAGATTTTTGCTCCCCAGTCCAATATTTTGTAAGTGTTAAGTTGGTATTTTCTAATAAATAACTCTGCAGTGAAGGCCTTCTTCCTTTCACTGGTGTACTCTAAATGTGCCTGGTTGCGAAATTTTTGCGACCATTAGTAAATTGCAACAAAATGAAATGAAAGCCAGTGTCACTATCGTCCCTGGAAACCGAATAACGAAAACAATCGGCTTAAGCGCGAAATAGATGAAGTTGTGCGCAGGTTAGATTTCGGGTCGACATGTACAAGGTATCTTATCCCGGGCTAGGTACTGCGTCCTTCACCGTCATACCACATCCCTAATTCGTGTCACACGACAATTAAGGTTTCTGGCATGAAATATTACTCGGTTGAGTTGAGAAGTGGTACCTATCTAAGCCGAATCGAGTCAAGGACGCTTGAGTGCCGTATTTAAGTATCTATACTCTCAGCCCTTCCAAGGACTTATGCTTTGAGCTATCCGATGAACATGTGCTCAGCCGAACTGGTGTGGGGATGGACTTCCTGTAAATGAAATTTATGTGGCTAAGGCACTCAATGCTCACTGACTTGTCTCACCAGCATCTCGGAAACTTTCAGGAAATACTGAGTCATACGACCCACGCGCTTGCTGATACAAGCGACTTAGTGCCACCTCACACCGTCTTGCCGCGATATGGCCTTGGACGGTTGAGTGGGAGCACGCTCACCACAAACTCAGGAGCAGCGACGCAACAAAGTCTGTGTTGGGCATAATTTGACTTGGTCCAGTGACTTACTTAAAAAGTAAGCTGTCGTATGCAGTAACGTGGACTTCACAATGATATTTCCAAATAAGCTCATTTTCACATGAATTTGGTTCTACCAGTGGACTGGAGTGAATCAAGCTGAATCACTCGTCCATAGAGGGTCTTCTTCAACTGGATGCGCTGCACAAATTCGCCTCAAGTTTCATTGGGTACGACTTTTAAGATACAGTAGCACAATATCTAGACCTAACAAACTATTCATAATGTCAAAGAGTCTTCAGTAACCTTATGAGTAGTATATCGCGTTTGTGCGGATGTCCTTTGGAATTATGAACGGATTGTATCCACATTTTAGTGAGCAGTACAGTATAGTGATTAGGCTCTTTTGGGATGGGCACCTATATAAAATAGATAGTTACTGTAGCACACTTCCAAAGAACGTGCTGGTTCAAAATAAGGCAAAACTCTCGACTAAACTCCGATCCGCCAACTGGCTTCCTTTGCATTGCTACGTCGACTGACATGCCTCATCGCCTACCAAAGCTTGTTCATTAATGCATTCAGCTAGTCTTCCGAAAACGTAACTGAGGCCAAAAAAATTATCGGCGAAATAGTACACTATTTCGCCAACTACACTCATCCATCTGCTACGGAAAAGTGCAGCTGAGCGGAACAGCGGGAAACGAAAGTGCAAACTAGGCTGTAACGACTGGATATATATGACATGTCGGTAAGAAAATTAAAGGTAGTCTGATCGAGATGCTGAATACTATCTAATGTAAATCGATCTGCCCACTTTGTATGTTTCAAAGATAAAGACTGAAAGCTTATTTTCAGTAGTATCGGTATGTTGTGCGCTAAGAATGTTTGAGCCGTGTAAGATATTATGAATTACGTCCCCTTCAGGTATAATTTGAACCCCTACATTCGCAGCGGTAATCATTCCCATAAAAGAGCTGTTTACTAATTTCCCACAAGCAACACTTTGTGGAAAACAATACCAGGTTTCCAGTTATAACAAAAGTGTTTCACCGGACATTGAAAAGTTTCCAGATTCGGTTCTCCCTGGCCTACAAAGTCTATTTAGCTAGAAAACCTTCAGTCTATAGAACATAGTGAACCAGCTGCATACCCATAGCTTGATCACACCGTCATCTTTAACGGCGCGCGCAAACTTGTATCCATGAGCTGCTCGCCCATTGGTCCAATCGAACGTCTTAAGCATTGCGTTAGATGGACGAACATTTTCTTAAGACAGGACTAGAACTTTATTCCTCACCCTATTTCAACTTACAGTCAGTCCAGCGCGTGCGATAGGTTGACAGGTGTCTGAGATGCAGAACAGTACGCCGATATCGTGCAACGATGACCATGCATTGCGCACAATATTCTCTATGTTTTCTCTATATGGGGAATCTTGCTTGCACACGAATTTGCTTTTGACAAAAGAGTCAAATGAATCGAGTTGAGTTTCTCGTTTCTCATGGTCTCCAAGAAGGGTGAAAACGGGTGTCGCCTGTCGAAGAGATTTCAGCAACATTATGAGTAGTGCGTTATGGCTAGACAGCAAGGAATCTCGCGTGCTCACTTATGATGATACGATTAAGTTTTCGCCAGTGTGAGGAGCTACAATTTAACACTGGATCACAACTAATTTAATTTAAACATACTTATTTTCTATAGAGGAAAATGTTGGTAGCTCAGGTCGCATAGATGGTCGTTGACTTGTTCGCTGAGCTGGACAATTTGATTGCAAACGTTTCATCACCAATCGAGGTGGTATCATCAGCGCGTTACTGGGGAGCGTAGTGGTGCGTTGAGTAGTGTTATGTGTGTGTGTGTGTTAATATACGTTCTGCTAGCCGGTGATGACCTTTGGTCGCGATTAGTTGTTCGGTCGGGCGGTTCGATTGGTTGCTCTGTTATCCTGTGTCCTCATCCGCCGACGCCAACGTGGCCTTCGAGCTTGGCGTTCACTCGGAAAAACTTTTGTGCTTTCCGTTTGTTGGTTCCGCGATAATCAGCTAGATACGCCTCCAAATCCCCGCAAATTGGGAAGAAACACCTGCAATCCAGTCGCCAACCAGCACTCACGCAACGAGACTACCAAGCACTCAGACAGCCGGTAGTTTCTCTTCTACTCGCTTCCCATAGTAGTGACATGCAGTTTTACTACTAGCCGATTATTGACGCAAGGATCTTTTCCAGATAAGCTCCGCCAAAAAAATTAAACCACCGTCATCCAAAAAAAGATTAGAAAAAAGAGGGGATATGAAATCTGTACTTTAGTTTTTGTTGAAAAGGATGACATTGGGACATGTCTTAATTAATTTGCATGAAGAGATCCATTTTTCGGTACCTTTACCCCCAAACGAACTCACACAGGGAGATGTCCACTAGAGATGGGTGTGTGCCGTATTGGTGTTCATTCGGCATCTTGTAAACTAGCCAAAGAGATTCGATAATTTTTGCATGAGCTCCAGTCGTTGGATCCACAAAGTTTTCGGTATAATTAACCGTTTCATGAGTAGCATTCATGTCAATCATCGTTTGAAAATCTTGGTATTAGGCCCACATTTCGGAGATGATGATTGAGCCGGGAGCGATGCAGGCCTGGATTGTGTCCATCGGAGTGGCCACAGTTCGATCTGGCACTGCATGCATGAACACCTCTTCAGTTTTCCGGCAGATCCGTCCGAAAATCCATTGCAGGGGAAGGACTCGCCCTGCGTGGCTTTTACGGCGAGATATTAGCGTGTCATCGATCTCGACGTGTAGACCTGGGCCGCCGATAACTGTCGGAGTCTGCAAAAGCCGCCAGGCGCAAGCTCTGCGAAGAAAGTTCTTCCAGTCAAAAGCGGTCATGTGGCTAATAGATAATTCCTCTGAGCGTAATTTGATTTTCGCCCTATTTTTGGACCAACTAAGGATCAGTTAAGTTATTTATTTGGCAGCCCTCAACCGAACAAGTGCAATCACATTTTGTTAGATAACTTAGTTGACTGAACGAGTTTGTTTTCCGACGTGCGAAGTAATCTGTCTACAAGAAAGTGGTTGGAAAACAGGAACCAGTTGATGAGACCCCTAAATCGATGCCGCATTTGGCCCCTAGCAGAAGACATTCTCTTGTTGGGGTTGATCGATTTATGGATTTTCTCTGAGGCTGACCTGGGTCACCCCTTTCATACGGATTACGCTATGGCCCCATCACAACCTGTAGAGTCTCACTACTCCATTCAAGATTTCCACCACTTCTGTGTTCCAGCCTTACCGCCGTGCAGGGTCTGAGTGATTTATTCAGCCTCAGTCCTAACGCGAACAGCACAGATAGGCTTCCTCGTTCCCATATGTGCTTGATATTTATTCAATTAGAATTTAGAACCTGTGTTTATCAGATGTTTGCCATGATAACCTGAAAACGATTTTTACAGAATTCGCCGAGGAGCCTGTCAACAGGTGACCACGTGATGTGGAATCCTTGACTGAACAATAAGTGGCTCTATTTGCTGTCTGAGAGTGAGTGAGTCTGCCGATCAGACGTTTAGAGCCGAATGGTTAGGTGTTCAAACTACTAGCCTAGATGTCGCGCGATCAAAGCTCCATCTAGTTTCATGTAATACGCAATGCTGACAAATCTTAGCTGTACAGGGCTTCTGGGCCTCCTATTGAAAATTTATCACACCCTTTGAACCGAATTCCTTCTGCAGGTGAACTGCAGAGAGGAGTGGCTTTGTTGTGCTTCCATGGCTGATATTTTGGCGTGTATAGCAGTGATTCTTTTTCCTATTTTAAGCGGGTGTGGTCTTTCATTACAAGTACCAAATACCCTTCATGGTTAGATTTGGTTGACCCCACCAAACTTTTCTTTCCCTTGTTCTCAGGTAGCAAATTGGACCAAGTTGGTGGAACGGATAACTATTTTGCGGTTCTACCAAAGTAACACAAATGAGTGGGAATCAACAACCCATCTGTGGAATGTGGCGCCAAGAAAAGAAATTATGAGGGTGGACCGCGTCAAAAGATGAATGAACATACATGGTCTGAATAGAACTGGAACAAATATATGGAGACAGTTGTCTGGTGCTCTGCTAAGCCTGAAGTAAACAAAACGAAATTCCTCATGGTGACAGCAGGCACAATGCTGTTAAGCTGAACGGTGGAGCAATTGCGTGATTCTTTACACTTGCATGGTTATTTTTTTCTCTATCCGTCTAAACCACAATTTCTTCTCCCAGTGAGTTGAACTAATTTTTGTCTTTAGACAGCATAACTCGAGTGTAAGTTTGCGGACTGATGGGCTAAGAGACGTCTTACGACTGAGTCATTGTGGTCCGTCATCCAGCTTTCGATTTAATTTGTTTAAAGTCACATGTATGCGTCGCTCACAGTGCGATCGATAATCCCTCAGTGCTGTGATCGGTCCTTACACACTGGTCGTTGGACAATCGGATGATATCTGCTAACGAACTAAACAGCTAGCGAATACACACACATTTGCAAACTAATTTGGTTTTTCGAGCGACTCACTTGAAACCCAGCTTAATGCCTCGGTTTTGATGTTTCCAGGCAACTGAATGTGCTGAAACAGGCCCGCCTAATGTTTAGTCGCTACGATATTCGAGTTGTCGCGATAAATGTATATCGTAATACACTACTCACAAGGTTGCTGAAAACTCCTCGACAGCCCACGATCGGTTTCGCACTTTATAGGGCTCATCAGGTACAGTATCCCCGAGTTTCCGTCAATCTTATGTTCTGCTTGAAACCAAACTTCACGAAATTAGCGAACTACACCCATTTGCAACCTAATTTGGTTTTTCGAGAGACTTACCTGGAACCCAGCTTAATCTCTCGGTTTTGATGTTTCCAGAACGAAACAGTTCTTCTCGATGCCCCCTTAAAGGTGGTGTAGGCCTCGTGAGTTTCATAAAAATTGTATAGTATTGCAAAAAAATTGTATTTTCACAGAAGACACAGGGTCTATTCCTGTTCTATTCTGTTCTATTCTACACAGGGTCAAAATTCGATAATTCATTGCACTAACCATTCACGTGGGTTTGTGGTGCACCTTTCGGTGGTTGAACTTACTGAAGACTTGGAAAATAATCGAAGGGATATATTTAGAATTTGTAGTTGGACACACTTTTTTGTCTGACTGGTTCCGAATTATAGAAATTTGATTGAAATGTTAACCCAGTGGAACGTGTTCCACCTCTCCGGATGACCTCAAAATTCGGACTTAAATTTCTCATTACTAAAAGTTTAGTTTGTTCAAGGTAAGAAAGCAGACTTCCAGGTTTAAAAGACCGGCTGAGTTGCGTGGGATAAGATCTCTCGATAAAGACAATCATAGCCTTTCGTCTGTTGCCAGCCACGACTCCATCCACAGGTAGGTTAGCGGTTCCTCTTGTGTTCATTGAACAACGCTTATCTGTTTGCGTTCTTGAAAAATCTCTTTAGTGACCTCAAGGGAAATGGATATTTACTGAACGTTTGAGGACGACGTGGACAGTACCAGTTGTAAATGCCACCATACATCTAATATATACGATGAAAACATGTTTCGTTTGTTCATAAAAGAAACTACTCACAAGGTGTCACCCTTCTTAGGGCTCATCAGGTAGGCACAGTCCCCGAGTTCCCGTTGACCTTATGTTCTACTTGATTTGTTTGTCTTCACTCACAGTTCAGTGGTTAGTAGTGTAAAATAGCGCAATCGATACTCTACTGCCCTGTAAGGCTAAAGTTCCACGTCACTATAAAAAGGAGAATGGTGACGGAGTTTCAGATAGTGCCTTCATCCCGTTCCTACGAAGTCAAATCGTTGGCCCATTGCAATGAAGAATTTTGAACACACTCATCAGCTGCATGGAAATATTGTGTAAAATAAGAGAAAATGGAAACAATCGACTGATCAGATGGGCTGGGCTCCCGGCCCTGTTCTGGTATAGGTTGCTTCGGAAATAAAACACCAAAAGTCTACTGACAAAAGGGTCAACTGGGGAAACTCCATTTCTGTAAGTTGATATGCAGTTGAACCTCAGCTTAAGTCGTAAGCATACTCATGATTTCGGATAAATTTTGAAAAAAATCATTATACAGGTGGTGAGCCACCTAGTCCAAAGGGTTCCAAAAATCTATCACGATGCTTTTAGGTTATAAAGTTGACGTAATCCCTCTAAGAAACTCACTACACTAGGATGAGTTTACAGGACTAACCAAACAGAACTTGATGTTTTATTCTAAGCCCGGGAAAAAAGTGAGCTAGAAGAGGAAAGATAAAAAGAAAAAAGCGAAGAAAAATTTATAAAATCCGGTTGACGTTATAGAGTAAAAAACCATTCTACTAAATTCAAGAAACTTAGATTCGACTTGCTTTACCCACGTTAAATTCTGACGCGATTTCATGCCTGTGAAAGGAAGAGACCTTTGCTGCAGAGTTATTTATTAGAAAATGCTAACTGACCAGTTACAGACTATTGGACAGGGAAGCAAAACTCTCATTTGCATCTTATTTACAAAAACTGGACATCCATCTTCTCCTGAACGCGTCTTCTTAAACTTTCCTGGATATTCATTGACTTCAATCGTCCATCGCTCAAATCCAAGCAAAGGTTAGAAAGCGACTCCAAAAATTGCCTAACAGACCTCCCTTTTCAAGAGACGCTAAGCGAATTTACAAGAACAAAACATATTACTCGCATGGCTCCCCATCAAGTGTATCACCGTTACACCAGTATTAATAGCCGAAGAATAGTTATGTAGCGTTGGAAAGCGTTCATTTTTACTTTCTAGGCTGTAATTCTCCATGGAACAGATGACGATGGTGTAATAGGAATCCGAGTGTAAATACGTATAATTTATTTTTGAAACGTACCCTGCGTAATTTTCATTCATGAATATTAAAGTGTGAAAACAACAGTTTCAGCATCTAAGTTTCCCAGGAGTGCGCGGTGAAAGAATAGTTGAAAAATGAACCGGAAAACATCACATGACCGTCAAAAATATCGCCATGACGTCGAACGTAGGTGAGGGAGGAATTCCGTTTGGTGCTTGTAATTTTTGCAGGTCTCTCCCAGTCCGTCAGCAGTACTTGCAGTTAACAATATGGTCAGTAGACTAGTAAGTCAATGGGTTACGTCGTCTCGAACAATCGAGAGTCTCTAAACCGCAGTTCTTTTGTGAACCACATAAACGGGACAATTGAAGCTGAACCTGGAATTGAACGCACTCAGTCTTTTGCACTGTGTGACCTAATATGCTGGAGAGGTAATACCGGTGAAACGGCGTATGCTACTGATGAGGCAGGCAAGTAGTCTGCGGTCGTGTCGAAGCTCCGTCTTGCATCCGACCGAAGGTGAAGTTTATTATGGGGCTTGTGAAACTGCTTTGAAGTGTTTGTTAATACTTGTTTGATAGTCATTGAATATTCATGAAAGGCCAAGAAGACGCGTGACAGTGTGCCTATGAGACGTTTACATTCCTGTCCATTTGCCTGTAACTCCTTAGTTCGTATCATTTAACAAATGACTTCGCAGTGAAAAGTTTCTCGTCCTTTCACTAGCAGTATGGTTTTCCTGGGTTTTATTAGTTTCACGCAACCCGCGAGAAACACTGCGGAGCTAACTTGACCTTCCCAAGATCCGAATAGTAGTACACTCCTGGATGCTAGGAGCAATTTCATTTCACGAGCGGCTTCTTTCAAACTCAAGTTGCTTATCCTTACGGGCTTTTATCTTCCGTTCATTCACACGAATTGTCCCCCTCGCGAATCAATGGAGGCAAAGGTTTAGCATGCTCCAAAGCCTGGGGGAATAGAGTTACTCAAGTTACGAGTCGTAACAGGATGGTTGTTTGATTGAGTTCCTAGACCTAGTGCCTGATGAAACATTTGTAGTTGAGGGTCAACGGCAGACATACTAATCCTTTACTCAGTATAGAGCAAGCGCATGACTAGCATACCTGCTAATTTCCCGCGACCAACAGCGTCCTATGAGCTTACCTCCCATAAGCTGAGAAAAGGATGTTGAACATGTATCCTGCAGAGCTAAGTTGAAACCTAAATGCCAACTGACCGATTACAGACCATTGGACAGGGAAGCAAAACTCTCATTTGCATCCTATTTGCAAAAACTGGATATCCACCTTCTCCTGAACGCGGCTTCTTGAACTTTCCCGAGTATATATTGACTCCAATCATTCATCGCTCAAATCCAAGCAAATGTTACAAAGTGACTCCACGAATTCCGCCACTGATCTCCCCTCTTCCAATGACGCAAAGCGAAATTCCACGAACAACACATACTACTCGCGTGCCACCCATCAGCAGTATCACCGTCACACTGGTATTCGTGCGTGTCAGTGACCGACATATAGGTGTGCATCCGTACCCGGCCTGTTGGGGCCTGGTCGGACTTGTGTCGTCTTGATTTTCGTGTGGTAGCACCGCCAATAAGAATCACGTGACTGGACCAGGACGGGACCATCAAGCCAATGTTCCGCTGGCCGTTGTCTGGAATTTCAAACCGTGCTACACTTTTGCTGATGCAAAGTACGCGAACGATTGAAGTTTGTTGTATGCATTTGCTTGACTTTTGTGTAAAAGTACCGTAGAATTTCGTATCCAATTTTTCCTTTTGATATTCCGGATCATCAAACTCCCGCGTGACAAAATGTTCCGTATTCGGGACTTCAACAACAGTGTCGAGGTTGTTTCTGAAAAGTGGAATGAAATTCGCGATATACTAATATTAGGCATGCATATAAATCACATGTACAGTAGGTGCAATTTAATAGACTAAACTATTGTTTGTGAAGTTGTAACTGCATTTATCCAGCCGACCATTTCTCTGTGTCGCTCTTTCATCCCCATTCCCCAAAGTGGGATGCATGAACGCGTGTCAAAGTTTATAGACATCACCATCGCGACCACGACACAATAAGATAGATAACACAAATGCTAGGCCAGCAGCAAATACCAGAGATAGACGAGTACTTATCGTCCGAAGGAGATGAAACTGAATGACTGTCAATTCTAATTAACGAGGCGCACCTCAAATCAGATGTTTCACGCGAAACGCGCCCAATCCTTATTTCTCGACGAAGCGCGTTGTTGAATAGGATGAATAAATTCACGTCGCCGACAGCTCGCACTTGTGTTCTTATCTACCGTGGCTGAATCCGATAAACGTATAGAAGGGGAAGCAAATCATCTCCACCTTCGCACAAACTTCGTTTTCGCCTTGAACGTGCATGCAACGTGAAAAGTAGGGTTAGTGGAAAATAATGGAGACCAGTGGAGGATGCGAAGGGGTTGGGACAAGCAGGGATAATTAGGTCCGTATGCCAAACAATTCTATCGGTTTGGACATCAAGACGTTGCGTTTAAATCCTGGGGAGTTTCAACCACTCGAGTTGCGCACGAATTTCTCACCACAAATTGTGGTGCGGGGATCAGATAAGAATGATGACGTTTGACAGTTCCCGAAACTACTGGTTGTGCCAGAAATATATGCCGGAATTGATGCACGAGACCAGGGGGTGGGAATAATCACCAGTTTTAGGACTGTTTATTGCTTGGATGCTAGTGACTTGTGGTCAGCCTCTGTGACTCCGCCCGAACGATTGCAATACACACATTACTGGTCATTCTTGTTGAGCAGG